GTACCCTTGGGTTCGGGTGCAGGCCGACCAATGTGTGCAAAAGCCTCCCGGATCAGAGCACAATCAAACCTCCGTATATTGTGACCTGCCCATATACGTCCTACACACAACAACCATAAAGAAAAATCCCTCAACAAATTAACCAAAAAAAAAACATACAAAAAAAAAAAGAGTTTTCATGCCATCATATTGAAAAATGAATCCCAAATTTTCCACCACCTACAACTGCAGAAATGAAAATCCAAAGCAACCCTTAAAGAAAATAGATTGAGCTTAGTTTAGTCTAGAAACAAATTCAACAAATATAGTAAGATAATATATAAAAAGACCTTGCTTGCAATTCAAACCAAACAAATCATGATTATGACAATGGGTCTAGCCGAGTAAAATTTGGAATTGACTTGCAGACCAATGGTCTCAGCTTCGAATCTCTATGTTGTATGTGAGAAACTTTAGTTTTGTACCAAAAGAACAAAACAAAACAAAGCATGATCATCACTTCAATAAAAAGAATCCAAATTTTCAGTGTACTCAATTTCTCAGCAACCAAACACAAACAGTTAGAGACTTGGCAAGAAAAGTAAAAGGAAAGGAGCAAACCGTGGAGAATGTCGTAGACCTCATCTGCAATCTCTTGAAAGGTAGGGGAGGAAGCGACGGTGTCTCTGTTAATGCCATTGCTGCGCATGGGCAAGGAGGCGATTGAGAGGTCGGCAGGTCGGACCAGGGTGGAGTAATTGTCGAGCTCCACCAGCTTCTTCGGGCAAACCAGAATCGCCCCGAACTCCAATATGATCCACTCCTGGCCGGGTGGGGTCGGCTTTGTTGTCTCCAAGTCGAAGAAAGCTATTTCGAACCGGTCTTCGCTCCTCACCATTTCTTTCTATCTTCCACGACACGATGATTGTGTAATGAAAAACAGAATGATTGTGTTGAAACTGTTAAAAGGGTTTTGATTTGATGCTCTCAAGACTTAACTTAATCATTGAAATTTAACCCGCAAAGTGTATATAAAAGGAGTTGAACAAGGCTTTGCTTGCTTGCTAAGTAATTCTTGAATTTTTTTCCGCGCCAGCTTTGCTTTGTGCTTCTCTCCCCAGCTTCTTTTCTCCTGCGGGACCCCGCTGTTTCAGATGTAAAAGCACATGCATCTCCAGCAAACTTTGCAAATTTACACCCCCCAACTATTGTTGTTTCCGGGGGGGACCGGGGGTGTAAAAGGGATTTTACGTATCCATAAAGAGGAATGTAAAGGTAGTAATGCCACCAACGGGTCCTTTTGGAAAAGCACCTCGATTTTCAAACCAGTAATCTTAAGTTTAAACTTGATGACACCTTAGTAGTGTCTAGCGTGTGTGAGAAACATCCCTCTTTGTAGTTTAGACTCTTGCATGCATCTCCAGCAAACTTTGCAAATTTACACCCCCCCCAACTATTGTTGTTTCCGGGGACCGGGGGTGTAAAAGGGATTTTACGTATCCACAAATAGGAATGTAAAGGTAGTAATGCCACCAACGGTCCCTTTGGAAAAGCACCTCAATTTTCAAACCAGTAATCTCAAGTTTAAACTTGATGACACCTTTCAACCCATCTTGATTTTACAAATCCTTAACAACTTAATTGTGGGGATAAGGTTGTTTCTTCCAAAATTGGATGTGAAATTGACAAACCCTCGAAGCTTACGAGTATGTCTACCCCATTTCCTTTACCGAACGGACAAAAAATCAAGCACAAGATTCATCAGAAGGACCAAACGTAATAGTTGGGGCACTTTCTATTTCCTCATCTGCAAGTATTTTTTTGGGGTCATACACCCGGTTGTCATTCACTGCTCTTCCAAAGCTTCTAGCAGTCCAAATATGACAACTACTTTAGCATATACAATTTACTTTTCCTTGGGTTCAGTTCTGGTCATGTACTTACTCGGGTAGGCTACTTTAATAAGTTTATGATATACAGATTGCACTTTGCTTTATTTTACTGGCTGTAACGACATCGTCAAGACCGACATAGCCGTTCACCGTTACAAAAAATGTAGAATAATAAAGAAAGGCCTTGTGACTGTTACATAACCTCAAATTCATATTTAAAGAATATGTATGGTAGCATAGATTTTGGAGTTACAAGTCACAACTATCAGTATTCCCTGTTTTCCATTTTCGATCATGAACATGAAAAACTGTTCTCCTGAATATGTCAGTCTACTTCAATCTAATTAACAAAGCAACAGCCCCCCTTGATTGAATAAATCAGTGATGCATCCATCAATTCGAATGAATAATCAATTTCTTTGCCACCAACCTAATGCCTGCACTCTGCTGATAGTCATATGGGTCCAAGGAGAAGAAAGCATCCATAAAACTCCCCTTTTTGAACAAGGTACTAAGTTCTGAAGCATCAATCTTAGTGAAGACTAGCCTCTGCTCAGTGCCAGAAGGCTCTTTTTGATATATCTCTGTGGCGTAGATCGCAATATCCCCACATACTGCTGTCTGTATACTGCAGAAACAAACATAGAAAGCATCACATATCTAATCAGTTCAGACGAATCTTCAAGGAGGGAAATTTTGAAGTACTCTTCATCTACACTACTAAAAAGGTCATGACTTGCAAGGTTATAAAACTTTGGCTCAGTTTATTTTGTAGAAAAAACCAGAAATAATACAACAGAGTTTGATACACTGGGATGAAATGTAACTTTCTCAATAGCCAATAAACTGCAGAAAAAAACCGTGTTTTCTTATGAGAGAGAGAGAGAGAGGATAAAAGCGAGGACTAAGACTAGAACTTACTGCAATCTCACTGTAGGGTAGTTGTAGAAGCCCTCTTTCCGGATCACAACAGGTCTCCATTCGGAGTTGCTTCCAGAATCCACAGACAACTTCTGTGCAATGCCATCACATGCATCAAGAACTTCACATAAATTTGGTGATGCATCGGCGACAATATTCAATCTTGGCCGTCCAGCATGATCAAAAAACTTTGTATTGATTCCAAACCGTAATTTCATATGCCTACAGCAAAGCTGCAAAGTGACATCTTTGTGTAATAACTTTATCCTCTGACTCCCACGATACAACGGAGCAAGGGAAGCACAGATAGAAGGAATAAAAACTTCATCAGGCTGTAAAAATCCCACACTGCTAATGCAACTCTCAGATGCAGCAGCTGGGGAAGAACTATTGGGAGTCTCTGGTACAGGTACTTCTACCATGGTGGTGTCTGGCTGATTCAACTCTTTCTGCACTTCGATGCTGAGTGGGCCCATGTCAAAGGGATCTGGTTGAGCTGTGATAGATTCAACCAGATTAGAGACTTCTGCGTTTTGAGTCCTAAGAGATGCTATTGGATGATTCTCCCCTGTTCTTTGATTTGTAAAAGATGACACCTGAGCATCCTCATGCTTAATTGATGAGGAAGTGTTCATGTTCATTTGTCCCCTCTTCTCAGCAGATGATTTTCCATCACTACGACTTCTTGTGGTAGCATTTGGAGAAACCCAACTGTTCTCTGTGAATATGTCTGGGAGGCTAGACTCCTGTGAGTACATCAGACTTATAGTCAATTTTTTACTATTGATATATTTTCTTGAGTTTACCTTCAAATGGTCCAACAAGTGAAATTCAAGATAACTATAAGAAGTGTGAACATATTAATGCCATATTAATAATGAATTCATTCTTCATGCCTTTCAAAATAACATTATTACCAAGAATAAGACGGTTGCACAGTATTTCAAAACTTCAAGATTCATACGAACATCATCCAAACTCCTGAAAAATCACTAGATAAAACATTAGTTCAAGAAAAACAAATTGAAATCAAGAGCGAGTAACTAAATTACAAGCATGTTTGCACAAATACCTATGTGTCTGCTGTCCAAGCCCAAAATAGGTTGCAAGAGTGGCCATCTGCGCAAAATAATACGTCCCAAGTATGTATCAACATTCACAAACAAAATAGATCAACATCTAGAAGCTGCACAACTTTTCTGCCTCAAAATTACATATTTCATTTTGTCCTTTAAAGATTGATTTTGAAGAATTTAAAAAACTTATTTGAATCAAAATCTAACTGATAAGATTTATCATATATACACACACATGTTATATATGAGAGATGGAGAGAAAATGTACCTTCATGTTACCAGCTCTTCTTCCAAAGCGCTGTGTCAACAACGCCAAGGAATCAATTGTACCCTTGGGTTCTGGTGCAGGCCGACCAATGTGTGCGAACGCTTCCCGGATCCGAGCACAATCAAACCTCAGTATGTTGTGACCTGCCCATATACGTCCTACACACAACAACCATAAAGAAAATATCCCTCAACAAAATAAAATATCAACTAAAAAGTTTTGATGTCATCATTCCAAAATGAATCTCAACTTTTCCACTACCTACAACCACAGAAATGAAAATCCAAAGCACCCCTTAATTTTTATTTTTTTTAATTGAGCTTAGTTTAGTTCAGCTAATCTTGCTTGAGTCGTTCTTTGTATTCTGATTCCTTCCTTTCATACCAAAAACAAATTCAACATATTTATAAATAAAAAAAACCTTGCTCGCAATTCAAACCAAACAAAGCATGAATATCACTTCATTTATGAAAAAGAATAAAAAATTTCACTTTTTTATAAAAAAAAATTTCCTCAATTTCTCAGCAACCAAACACTAACAGTTAGAGACTTAGCAAGAAAGGAAAAAGGAAATGAGCAAACCATGGAGAATGTCGTAGACCGTATCGGCGATCTCTTGAAAGGTAGGGGATGAAACGACGGCGTCTCTGGTAATGCCGTTACAGCGCACGGACAAGGAGGAGATTGAGGAGAGGTCGGCGGGTCGCACCAGGGTGGAGTAGCTCTCGAGCTCCACCAGCTTCCTAGGGCAAACCAGAATCGACCCAAACTCCAATATGGTGAACCCCTGGCCGGTTCGGGTCGGCACCGTCGTCTCCACGTCGAAGAACGCTATTTCGAACCGGTCTTCGCTCCGACTCACCATTTTCTATCTTCGCCGACAGGACAGTTACAGAACGGGCGTGTTTTAAACCGGGTTTTGATTTGATGCTCTCAAGACTTTATTTCTTGAAATTTAACCCGCCAAGTGTATATAAAGGAGTTGTTGAACACGGCTTTGCTTCCTTGGTGGGGTTTGTTGGTTTGGTTTTAATTTAGTTTTTGGGCCTAAACAGGCCCATGAAAAAGGCTTTTGCTTTGGTCCTGCTTGTCCTCAATAGGTGGGTGACCTGAGCAAAGAAGCAATGGGAATGCATATTTGGTATCTCATTCCTTGCCTTGCCTTGGTGTATGACCAAAGCTTCAAGTAACCCTAGGAGCAAGCCATGCATGAGGCACTTTGCCTTCTTGGAAAGCATGAACTGGTGCAAGCTCATTATAATTTAGGTGTCTTTGTTACTTCAGCTGTCTCAGAATCAAGAACACATCTTAGCATCCTATACTTGTTTCAGTATTTCTTCAGTTCATATGGATAAGAAGAGGGCAGATGTAAAATATTCATTTGAATGAAACATGATGTTGTGTTGCATGCAATGGAAGCCCTCTGATTACAAAGAATGGTACATCTATTTAATTTACAAAGACTATTTTAACTTACAGGCTAAAAAGTTTGAGAGAAAGCTTGAGGACATGCTTCTGTTTGACTTACCCATCAAGAGCTAGGAATGATTCTAGTGTTCTACTGTCAACATAGGACTCTGAAAGAACTTGTGACTCTAGAAATTAAACAAAAAGGGTCATCACAGAAAATGATATCCCACTAGAAATGATGAAAATGGATGCAAGTCTCATATACCGTATGTCAGACAAGATGTTGCCAGTAGCATGGCAGATTGCATTGCAGGAAAATTGACCCGACGCTTTCCCAATTCAAAAGGGAGAGAGAGCTGAATGAGATGTCGACATATTTTTCTTGCTATTCTGCAGCATGGGAAAGCATATCTGATATGTCTGATTTGGAGCCCTCCTGCAGTGATGGCCTGGTGATTTCACCAAGCATCTCATAGATTACAGATGCATGCTTATGGGTCCTATCACCTGCCACAAAATCATGAACAACTCCATTGATTTGAACCCAACTTCGGCCTGGGGGCTTTCTCACGCCCATCTTAACCATTTTCTGCCTCACAGAAGCAACATCTAGCCATCTTTTAGTAGAGGCATACGCATTTGATAAGAGCACAAGATAACCTGCAGCTTGGTCAGGGTCAAGTGCAACTGTCAATTTTTTAGCCACATGTGATGCGAGCTCAGCATTCTTGTGAAGCCTACAACCGCCAAGGAGAGCACCCCACACAGCTTCGTTTGGATTCATGGGCATAGTCTCCACAAGCATATGTGCTTCTTCTAGAAAACCAGCTCGGCTCAAGAGATCAACCATGCACCCATAGTGCTCAATCCTTGGGGTAAGTCCGCAAGTTTGCGTCATGAACTTGAAAATTCGACGGCCCTCGTCAACTAATCCAGCATGGCTACAAGCACACAAGACACCAATGAAAGTTATCTCATCAGGTCTTACATCATCAACTCCCGAGCTCAGCATCAATTGAAAGATATGAAGAGCTTCCTCCCCTCGACCCTGCTTTGCAAACCCAACGATGATGCTGGTCCACGAGACAGTGCTTCTTCTTGGCATCTGATTGAACAATTTATAGGCTTCTTCAATTAAACCACAACTGGCATACATGTGTATGAGTGCATTGTACAAAGTCACCAACCGTGGCTCGGACTTCATCCACAGTCTCTCTTCAATGTACCAGTGAATCCACCTTCCCAATTTCAAGTCCCCTATTTCAGCACAGGCCGATAACGCTGCCACTAGCGCCACCTGGTCAAGTTCCACATTGGACCTCCTCATCTGACCAAACAAAGACAAAGCTTGCTTGCACCTCCCGTTTTGAGCACACCCCGCAATCATGGTCGTCCACGAGACAATATTCCTCTCTGGCATCTCGTCAAAAACTTGCCGCGCCCCATCAACATTCCGACACCTTATATACCCCCCAAGCAGTGAATTCCAACTCACAACACTCCTCTCACTCATATCGTCAAACACCCGGCGTGCATCCTCAACGCCACACCCTGACCCTCCACTAATTGCATACAAATTAACCAAACTCGTCTGGACAAACACATTAGAACCAAACCCATTTGCCAAAACTCTCGCATGCACCTGCTCCCCTTCTCTCACCAACCCTGACCTCGCACAAGCACTAAGAACATACAAATAAGTAAACCCATCAGGCTCAGCCCCAACACCTACCAGCCGATTATATAATTGAACAGATTTTCGGGGAGTTTCGCTTCTGGAATGGCCTCTAATTATCTGGTTCCACACAGTAGTACTTGGGTTTTCGACATTTTCAAAAACTTTGAGGGCATGATGGAGACACCCAGAAGATACATAGAATGATAATAATCTAACAAGAATGTAGCTTTTTTGGTTGAACCCGTGAACAAGTATTTGGGTATGAATTTGGGTAAGTTTTCTTATGGAGTTACAGCTCTGTAATAGAGAGAAGAGGTACTGCTGTAGAGCTCTAGAGGTTGCAGGGTTGGCGGGAATGGCTTCCATAACCGACATTTAAGGACGCTATTGGCAAAGCAAAACAAACTTGGCGTAATAATAAGGAGCTTAACGACGTCGTTTTATTTGCGCGAAACCAATAATCATTTGAGTAAATGTTGAAGCTCCTCTGTTCCATACACACACACACACCCATCTTCACCTTCTACACTTCCAGTTCCGCTTCCACCAAATGTTGAAGCTTTTAAGAGCACTTTCTTTCTCATCATCTCCATCTTCTTCTTCTTCTTCTTCTTCTTCTTCTTCTTTTTCGTCCTCATCCTCTTCTTCGTTATCCAATTTCACGAGCACCATACTCAAATGTCAAACCCCTACCCAAGCACTAGAGCTCTTCAATATTGCGTCAAAGCAAATGGGCCCAGGAAAGAATCTTCAGCTTTATGCAGCGATTACCCATGTTTTAGTCAGTGCCCAACGGTATGCTAAATCCAGGTGGTTGATAAAAGACCTCATCCACGACCTTCAAAAGTTCTGCAACCCCAGCCGTGCTTGTCACTTGGTTTTCGATGCACTTAACTGCTTAGAAAGCTCAAGGTTTTCTCCAGATGTGTTTGGAGTGTTAATTATTGGGTTATCTGAGATGGGCCTTGTTGAAGAAGCCTTGTGGGTGTACCGCAAGATTGGGGTGTTGCCTGCAATGCAGGCTTGTCATGCGCTCTTGGATGGGTTGGTGAAGACGGGTCAGCTCAAATTGATGTGGGAACTTTATAATGAAATGAGTTCTCGTGGATTGTCACCTAGTCTTGTTACATATGGCGTGTTAATTGGTGTATGTCGTAGAGAAGGCGATAACTTGAAGGCCCGTAAATTGTTTGATGAAATGCGTGATAGAGGGATTAAACCAACGGTTGTGATCTATACATCTATTATTCGGGGTCTGTGCAATGAGGGTAGAATGGTGGAAGCGGAAAGTATATTTAGGATGATGGGGGAAGCTGGTGTGCTCCCAAATCTGTGGGCTTACAGTACTCTGATGAATGGGTATTGCAAATTGGCTAATATTAAGCAAGCCCTTATCTTGTATGGGAAGATGCTAGGTGATGGCTTGCAGCCAAATGCTGTGATATGTAGTATTTTAATTGATGCACTTTGCAAATTAGGCCAACTGAGAGCTGCAAGGAGCGTTTTTGTATATATGGTTAAGTTTGGCGTTGTTCCTAATATATCTGTGTATAATGCTTTGATTGATGGGCACTGTAAGGTTCAACAATTATCTCAAGCTATGGATTTGAAATCAGAGATGGAAAAGTTTGGAATTTTGCCAGATGACGTGACTTACAGCATCCTAATTAAAGGTCTGTGTACTGTTGGTGGAGTGGGAGAAGCACATCACTTACTTCAAAAGATGGAGAAAAAGGGATTAATTGCGGTTTCTGTGATTTATAATTCACTAATTGATGGGTATTGTAAGGAACACAATATAGGGAAGGCTTTGGAGGTGTGCTCTCAAATGATTCAAATTGGTATGGAACCCGACGTCATCACCTTCAATCCTTTGATTGATGCATATTGCAAGATGGGGAACATGGAAGCTGCTATGGACTTGTACTCACTGGTGAGTAAAAGCCTTGTGCCTGATATAGTAACTTACACAACTTTGATCGATGGGCATTTTAAAGTTGGTAATGTGAAAGAGGCTCATCGGCTGCATCAGGAGATGCTGGAGGCAGGCCTCACCCCCAATGCTTTTACTGTTAGTTGCTTGATTGATGGCCTGTGTAAAAATGGAAGGACTTCTGATGCAATCCAACTTTTTCTGGAGAAAACTAAAGCTGGCCCCTCTATATATTCCCCAAATCACATAACTTATACAGCTTTAATTCATGCTTTGTGTGAAGAAGGCCAAATTTTCAAGGCAACCAAGTTCTTTTCGGATATGAGATGCTATGGTTTGAGACCAGATGCATTAACTTACGTTGTCATGTTAAATGGGCACTTCAAAGCCAAGCATATGATTGGCGTGATGATGCTGCAAGCAGATATGATAAAGATGGGTATGATGCCCAGTGCACGCGTATGTGCAATCTTAGCTAGGGGTTATCGAGAAAGTGGGGACCTAAAATCAGCTCAGGTATTGTGAGGAGGATCAAATGGAATTAGGTTGGTTCTTGGTCGTAAGAGGCTACAGTTTGGAATAGAATTAAGATCTCTATATTGGTTTGGAGATTAACAATATCCTTGACAGAAAGGACCTCTAGAGTTATTGAGAATATATGAAATAGTTCATGCTGTGTTATTGGCTCAAGTAACAGACAAGTTGGATTAACATTACATCTTCTCTACTGAGAGGTGAAAGACTAACCTATTTGTTGAATAGTGCAATGCTTACTATTGTGAACGGGTTTTAATGCCTGCAAATACACTCGGATGCTCATGGTCATTGTCAAAGCATTCCTGATTCGAGTTAGGCCAATCTTGTTGGACAGTTTCTATTGCTTACATAAACTAGCTCTGTTGGTTTGGTTCATATTTGTATTTCAATTTGTTAAAGTTGTCACAGAGCAGAAGTTAGTGTAGCAGCAAACTTGGATAATGTGAAGTTCATAAGATCGTGTTTTTTTTTATTTGGTCGAATGAGGTGATATTATTAAGGTTCGAAATCCTCAAGATATTAGAACTTAGAAGAATGGCATGTTGCTTCTCGCATGGAATTCTCACAGCAACTTTCTCAGTGTGTGATTAGTCCAGGGCAAGCCTATTTGAATTTCCACGCCAGAAAGCCCTGTCTTAAATGTTTTGGTAACTTTGAAACGGATAATGAGATTCCTGAAAAGGTTTCCTTTTATCCAAACAAGGGTGGCAAAGCCTTCTTCCCCATTTCATATGACTGAATGTTTTGCTGAGCATGTGACTGAAATTTTTTTGCTGGATGAAATCATGGATGTGCTTGATATTTTGTCATTTGGTAAAGGATGCAATGGCTACAATATACTCATATATGATACTGTGAGATAAATTTTATGGTCTAGCATGTGGAGCAAAAAATCTTGGGAAAGGATAAATCCTCCCGTGCATCCAATGTACTTCATTGTTTTTTTTCTCTACTAATTTCTAGCAGTGTCCACATGCAGCTTGTATATATATATATAGATATAAATCAACACAATGCTCTGCATCTATAAATTTTTGGGGTTTTTTTGCAGTAAATGGTTAGAAGTTGTGGATATAGTTCTAGTTTATTGCAGGTTACCCATTAATTTCAATTTGATCATTTTGAGAAAATCAATCTCAATTTTCGAATTCTGGAACGTATATAGTCCAAGACAATTATTGTGCAAGTCATAGCATGACATGTGGTGGTTATGTTCTGAAATGATTTTGGTGCGTTGAGTTTAGTTGTCGTAATCCACGAGACAATGGGGTTTAACCCTTAAAAATGGAGAAGGAGCTATGAGCTTAATTTAGAACTCTGAAAAGGTGAGATGCTGTAAAATTTATGGTCAGATCCTCAAAATATCCGGCTGGAGGCCGTGCAAGCCAACCTGAAGTTTGGTAGGCCAAACTTTTTGTTGGGTAACTGGTGTGTTTGTGGCATGGGAGTTTGATTGCTGCATGGATATGTGCATCTCTAGGCCTTTGCTTGTGTGCTGCTGATCAAAATTTCAATGGAGAAAGGTAAGAAAATAGACATTGAAAACAGCAGCAGGCATTATGGTAGCAGCAGAGCTAAGAGCAAGAACATGTCCATTGATTGTAGCAGAGTAAGAATTATGTCGTGTGACCGCGACGCAGAGAGTTGTGAGGAGGTTTGCACACTACTGACAAAATGCAGTTATTATCAGGGTACGTAATGTAACATAACGTACGTATATGTATATATCAATCCTTTCTTCTTGCATTTTTTTGATCATGGGCTGAAACAAAGTTTCCAATTAGTTTGTTTTCTTGAATTCCAAACAGTTTGGAGTTTAGATGTATAATATGCAGCAGCTCTGTCTTCTAGCATGTGCAACCTTGAGTTCTAATACTAATCTACAGTATAGCCGCTTTAAATACACCCGGCTATACTTTTAAAATATGTTAATATTTAAAGAGTATAGCCGCGCGGCTATACCATTTAAATGCATTCAAATATTTGGACTGTATAGCCGCGCGGCGATACGTTTATATATATTCGAATGACAGTATGGCCGCACGGGTATACTGCACAAAATGATTTTCTTTTTTAATTATTTTAATTAGTAATTAATGCACTATATATTCTCGTATCAAAATTGATACAAACAATATGCTTGGGAGCCATGTAAATTAGCACATCATACTTTGCTTTCCTTGCTGTTTTGAAGTGCTGTCAACGCAGGACGAAAGCCGTTTTCTTTACAATTTCGTAAAATTTGGTGCTACTGATTATCTGGTGAAGCCATTATGCATTGACGTGACGAGATATTAAACTTGTGGATCCACTCTTGGAGGCAGAGGAAGCCTCCTACGGTAGGCATCCCTCTGTTTTTTTTCTTAACAACATGGGAATGGCTGGTTACCGAGTGATCCATATTGTGCTCAAATCTTTTGCTTGTCACCTAGACAGACAGTTAAATCGAAAAACACTCATATATGTTTGTGTCTTTGTTTGGTTTTTATTTTCTCTTACAGGGGCTCGAGCCGCCACGGAAGAGCATTAGTCTTGTGGTTTCAGTCGAAGCAACTATGAACAACATCTTGGTCTTAGATGACACTATCACAGATGAAGAGTTTCCAGAGGTTCCATAGCCGACTTTGTATGCATCAAAAAAATAAATGGCATGATTATAATTACTGAGCTTCTATGCATGTAGATTTTATGTAGCAGATGAACACCAGTTAGTATTTTAATGATTTCCAGACGTAACAAATTTGAAATGGTCCAAAATCCACCCAAAGTGTTGTGATGCTAAAAAGTCCTCTGTTTCTGGTTTTTCCTATTAAAAAGTGTTAATAACAATTAACCAAAATGATACGTTATTGTAGGCTGTAGCTAACAATTAACCTAATGATTTCTGTAATTAAATTTGATTAGAGATTGAACAAGCACAAACCAATATTGAACATAAATAATACCATAATGTCGTTTCTATTCTTGTAGCGAAGATCATGAGATTCCTGAAAAGGTTTCCTTTGGCAAAACCTTGTGCACCATTTCATCTTCCTAAAACCCAACTTCACACACACCTCAAACCACCTAAAGCAAACCAGACCCTTAAGAGATACCTCAAATCCAATTGCACCATCAAAGCTTTCTTACTGTTTAGAGACATATTGAGAAAAAGCCCTTCCACAATTGATAGCTATACTCTCTTGTTTGCCCTCAAAGCTTGCTCCCAAAAGTCTGTCTCACTTGAGGGGAAACAACTGCATGCCCTTTTGCTTAAGTATGGCTTTCAATCCATAGTTTACCTCCAAACATCTCTTATGAATATGTACTCTGCTGCGGGTAATGTTGTAGGTGCACACCTAGTGTTTGATGAAATACCCTGCAAAAACATAGTTTGCTGGACCACCTTGGTTTCTGCTTATGTCGACGATCAACAGCCTAACAAAGCTCTTCAGCTGTTCAGGCAGATGCAGATGCACAGTGTGGAACCTGATCAAGTTACGTTGACAGTTGCTCTCTCCGCGTGCGCTGATCTTGGAGCATTGGAAATGGGAGAATGGATTAATGCTTATGTCCGTCGTAAATATGAGTTCGACACAGATTTAAGATTGAGCAATGCTCTTGTTAACATGTATGCAAAATGTGGGGATATTGGAACTGCAAGGAGATTGTTCGATAGCCTGCAAGAAAAGGATGTTATGACTTGGACATCAATGATTGTGGGGCATGCGTTACATGGACAAGCAGAAGAAGCGCTTAAACTCTTTGGACAAATGAAAGAAGTGAGTAATAACACCAGGAAGAACAAGAAGAACGGTAGCTATGGAAGCTCTTCAATTGTCCCGAATGACGTTACTTTCATAGGAGTTTTGATGGCCTGCAGCCACGCCGGGCTGGTAGAGGAAGGGAAGTGGCATTTCAAAAGCATGTGTCAAGAGTACGGTTTGAAGCCCAGAGAAGCTCACTTCGGCTGCATGGTGGATCTTCTCTGCCGAGCCGGGCATCTGCAAGAAGCTTACGATTTTATTTTGAAGACAGAAGTGCCTTCAAATGCAGTGGTTTGGAGGACATTGCTGGGTGCATGCAGCCTCCATGGAGATGCTGAACTTGGGTCACAAGTGAGGCAGAAGCTGCTTGAGTTGGGGCCAAGTTATGTTGGCGATGATGTTGCTTTGTCCAACATCTATGCTGCCAAAGGCATGTGGGAGAAGAAGGTGATTGTTAGGGACCAAATAAAGCAAAGAAGATCTCCTGGTTGCAGTTCAATTGAGGTGGGAAGGTGCATTGCTGAAGCAAAGAAGATCTCAGGCAGTTGATTCTAAGTATACGGCCACTCGCCTGAGCTTTCAAGCCTAAACGAGTCTTGAGGGAGAACAAAGGTTGTAGTGCAACTGTGTTGCTACTTGTAACTTAAATATCAGTACTTGTTTTATATGTTTCAAGATGGATTTTTATTTTCTGAGGAATGCATGAATGATCTTAGGAAAATTAAAGAAAGAATTTAATCTTAAGTTTAAATTGGTTATATAAACATAATGAATTAAAGTCAATTGCATTTGATACCAACAAACAATGACAAGTCACCTACATTTGGTGCCAACGCACAATGGCACAATGTCACGATACATATGCAGATGGATTCGAACCTCTATATTTAAAGATTCTAAATCTTTATCCTTAAAGATTCCAAACCTATACATTGAAAGATACATGTTACATCTAGAAATATTTTAATCAACTAATCAAATAACTTAAATGTAATACGTCAATTTTGAAATGATGACACATCTATATTTAATTAACAATTGTTCTAATAATTTAATCTAATAACTTTAATATAAGCCGTAAAATTTTGAAATTATGACACACATATATATTTAATTAACAAATATTATAATAATTTAATCTATTAACTTAAATATAAGCCGTGAATTTTGGAATTTTTGACACACGTATATTTAAGTTACTTCAACTTGACATTATTAAGTCTAAATCAAAACAAACAATAGAGAAAAAATAAAAAACCTGACCCCACCGTGACAGCCGCCCATTACCCAACCCAAACCACCCCATCCCACCCCACCCTTTTAAGAAGAACTTATGTGTAATGTGAATGGCATTATGACGGTATTCCAAACCTATCAAAGTATTATCATATCAGAAATTCGCATTGTTATGTCGGAAAGTTGAAATACATGGTAATGAGTGATTGATTTGGGATTAAACAACCATGAAGCGCCCTCTCCTCTTTTTCTGCCTATCTCTCCCTCTCCTTTGAGTTTGAGTTCAAATAACCATGAAGCGTTCGGACAAATCAATTCATGGAATCTTTCGAGCTCGGCTAGCCTAGGAGCACCCACACCCATGTTCCCGACACGAGACAGTTCCAGAATAGTAAAAATCGGTGGGGGTGGGGTCAGCTGTGAGGTTCGGGTTGGGTTGGTGGGGTGAGGGGGTGGCTACTTTTTATTTATTTTTCTTTATTTTTTATTTTATTTTAATTGTTTATCATTTTATCTAGAACTTTTTTTGGGGAGCAATTATTTAGACTTTTTTTGTTGTTTTTGAACTAGCAATTATTTAGACTTAAGAATCACATAACAGCTTGCCACCTATACCATACTCGCACTCCACTCTCATCCATTTTAGGGTAAATTATTCTTTTTCCTTTTTATATTATTTTGGACTTTTAATTTAATATCTTTTTTGGACTTATCCAAGTCTCAAGAATTGATTGCTTTTCTCTGATATTTATCTTGCCTTTTGCTTTATCAATCCTCTGCTTTGGATTTGTTATCATCTCTGATACCACCCAAAATTAGCAGACAAGCTGTAAAGTTTGAGCCTTTATATCATTTACAAAATCTTGATCGGTAACAGTTCCCTTATTTATGTCATTAGCCTATCCTATCCGTTCAATTAATTTTCTGCAAGTTTCATGAACTAGGGCTAGGGTTCCATTTTCTACATAAATGGTGTGACCCGTTAATCTTTCTCAATCTCTACCTGTAGTCTGAGATTTGTGCAGCAGAAAACCCCACTTTGAGTTTCAGTAATCCGACAACTTTTTGCCTCTACTTGACCGTTATGGAGACCGCTGAGCTACAAAGGGTTGGAGTCGTTCAACGTGTTCCTCTGCTTATCATTAATTTCGTTGCTGGAGCTCTGGTTTTGCTCTGTGCTCTTGGTATTTACAAATTCTTATTGCTTTATTTTATTTTATTTTGCTTTCCTCTTTCAATCTTCAATTTTTAGCGGTTGTGATATCATATCAGCTTGTGGGTTTTGGTTATTTTTCATATATGTCAAAGTGCGTGCCTGTGTTTATTGTGTTTGTATGGAACTTCATGTTTTGAACTTGATGTTCATGGTGCTTTCGTTTCTTTTTTTTTTCAATAAATGTTTGAAGAATTGTAAATCTAATGTGTAACTAAGAAATTGATGTTATTTTTCCCATGTCCGATTATGAAGAAGCTGATTTAACTATATAATAGTAGTGATATATATTCTTTTTAATGGGGATTGATTTGCGTCTTTACGTTATCGTCCTCTTGCAGCTGGATTTTTCACAGGAGGTATTGCTGGTGCTTTAGCTGGAAAAGCTTCTGATAAAGGTGTTGTTCGTGGAGCTGGACTGGGTGCTGTTGCTGGGGCTGTACTCTCTGTAGAGATTTTGGAGGCGTCACGTGATTTACTGCGTCTAGGTCGGCCTGGTTCACGAAGATCTTCATTGATGGTTAGTTGTTACGCTCTGGTATATAAGTTTCTCTTTCTTTCTTTCACACCAAAGGTGATCCTTAGAAATGTCTGGACCATGATTGAAAAAATTTGGTTTTCAGCTGAAGTTTATAATCAGGGACCCATAGTTAAGCTTATACAGGCATAGCATCACATCATCGTAATTTTCTATCCGTTTATGGAAGGTAGCCTTAGTTCTTCAACTATAGACTGATTGTCTGTTTTTTGGGTTCAGGCAGAAATTACAGAGGAGCTTATTTGTTGGAGATTTGAGGAGGAAAACTTAGCACCACCAGAAGGGCACACTGCTAACCAGTGGCAGGTTTTCACTCTTTAACCCACAAACTTTTTTCTTTTGAAGCAATATCATTTGAAAGTTGAAAATTTTGTGGGTGCACATAGGCATGTCCAGTTTAGTTGGATGCTAGCAAGCGGATTGCGTTTCCCTTTCTATCTCAGCTATCCATTTTGACTTCCTCATTACACCTTGTCGCCTTTTCTTTGCTCCCAAATTTTTTATTCCTAGATTTTCATATGACCCAGCTGCTTTTGAATCCAGCCTTTGACCTCATTACACCTTGTCGCCTTTCTTACCACTTTATTGTTCTGAAAATTAATGATGGGACAAGTTATTCAAAAAAAAACTCTGACGATGTGTCCCTCAATTGCTTTTTATCTAATTTATTAAGCTGGAATGAGCAGGTTACCTTCGCTAATCTTCGCCGTGATGAGATTTATGATGCCTTTGGAGGATCTGAAACTAAAGGGCTGTCAAGGGATGTGCTGAAGAAATTACCATCTCATGTGATTGTGGGGGATACCAGGGCAGCTCAAGGTTTCTGTTGTACGATATGTTTGCAGGTCAGAACTCTTTCTAGGAATGCTTGAACTTTTTGTTTCTGGTAGTTTTAAGTGTTGATGTGGCAAAGATAATAATAGTTGTTGTACTGCTATTATGGAAATTTCTTAATCAATACTTAAATCTTAATTTTGTATAAATATCTCTATAATTATCTTTAATATTTTGAGAACGGTGCAATTTCCCTACATGTATTAATTCACTTCAATTTAACTGAAAAGGGCTCTACCTAAATCTCAACGATAACAATATGGTTTCTGCAGGATGTTGAAGTAGGAGAAATTGCAAGGACCCTACCCCTGTGTCAGCATAAATTTCACCTGGCATGTGTGGACAAGTGGCTCATCAGACATGCATCATGCCCGTTATGCAGACAAAATGTGTGAATGAAATACATGTATTTTGTGTACAGTGCTGTTTCAAAGAGAAGTTACTAGCCCATTAGTGGGAATGTATATAATGGTTATGGTCTTTTCCTGTACTTTAGCCTTTGCAGTTTGGGGGTTTGTATGTTTTTTTTTTTTCTATACAGTGTAAATAACATAGTTCCTTATGAGGCATTATGTTACTCCTTTTAAAGATGGAGTGGATATTGAAAGTTGCTGTTTTAGATGCAAGTTATCAATACAAAAATTTCAGAAATGTTGGGAAAGAAACTTTATGCCTTGCAATGAAAATGCATTTGTGTATTTCAGAAATTTTCAGAAATTTATGCTCCCCCTTGATCTTCTTCTCGTGCTCATTTTACTCTTAAGTCAGTATTTTCCTTTGACATTTCATTGTTGTTGGAGGAGGTCTGGAGGCCATTTCACCCTGAGTCAATATTTTCCTTTTGCATTTCATTAAACCCAAACACATTCTGTTGAGGAGCTTTGCTTTATGCAGATAGCAAAATTTTGATAAACTATGTAGAAAACATAATTTAATTTCTTTTTGGCCTGAATGTGCGGTTAGTTTTTAAGTTTCGAACTCTGATTTAATTCAAAAAGGCAAGGAAGAAAAAAGGGAAGACAAGAAAATTCTTCATTAAGATGGAATGATCTGTTACAGAGCCAAGGGCTTGAAGTTCGAATTATCAAACCCCTGTATGGTACAGAATCTATGCATCACAGGGGGCCCGTAGACTTGATTGCTTAATAGTTTATCTCTGTTCTCTGATACAAGAGAAGATGAAAATGATGAGTATGCTTCCGAGCTTGTACTTAAATTTCTGCATATACAAAGATAACTTTGTTCAGGTTAGTCAAAAAAATTGTCAGAACAAGACGAATATCATGCTCTCAAGAATCTCTTCTAAATTTACAAGCTTTTCCATTGCTCAAATCCATAGCCGTGCATCATGTCTGGAAATTCAAGAAGTCATCAACCAGATGAATTTCAAGAAAACAATTTGGGCTGCATGTTGGTGAATTGATTTAAAGAAAATGCTAATAGGTTTTTGCTTATCACCACTGTTGAGGATTTCTTACCATGGTGATTCTTTTTTCCTTTTTCTCGTCTAATTGCAGTAATCCTATCCAACTACAGTACCAAAAATATCATACTCCGAAAATTCATTCAGAAACTCAAATGAAGTGAGGATATAACGTATATGGAAATGATGACTATGGAATCACCTTTTGAAAACAACAGGATCATTTGGAGGTCATTTCACACTGCAACTGCTACAGGCCTTTTACTGTTCTTGATTCCTTTTATAGCTGCAAGATGGTAAATAGAAGCCAACATTAAGATATAAGTGCATTAGTTCATCTGGACTAATAATATAGGTTTTCCGATCTGTACGGTTTATACCTTCAGCATAATCTTTAGCTCCAAAGACAGCAGAACCGGCAACAAGAGCATTAGCTCCAGCCTCAATAACCTGCCACCATAGCAAACATTTGAAACCGGACTCATTGCATCCTAAGTCGTGCACCTCCTTTCACACTTAACAAATGTGTTCAGGTTCAATTAATCAACACGACCCTGCCCCAACCCCCATTTTTCTTTACGGAATCTTTTCCCCAAGTCCCACTTTCTGTGTTGATTTTATATTTCAATTTGTGGATCACAATGATAATGTCAAACATAATCTGAATCCAACAGTTGTTTTAATGCTTTCAGAAAGGGTAAGTTAGATTTTCTGATTACTTCTTAGCATGACGTAGTTAACCATCAGGCTCCATTTCAATTATTTTATAACAGGTACATCAACACTTGGTCTACACACCTTATATGCATTTGCTGGACCAACTCCACCATCCACTTCAATCCATGGGTTCACCCCCTGTAGTAATAACAAACAAACTATGAATACCTCTTCAGCTCACATAAAATGCAAGAATAGAACCCCACAAAATATGAATAGAGATCATACTTTCTCCACGCAGAGTCTTCTTAATTCTGAAATTTTCTTCACTTGGCTCTCTATGAAGCTCTGCCCGCCAAAGCCAGGGTTTACCGACATAATCAAGACCAGATCAACCACTGAAACATGCAAAAGATAGTCAATATCACTACTTTTCACTAGATGATATACCATATAACTCCAATTATAATATTGTTAGATGACTTAATACGGGAGTAACACTCATTTTTCTTTTTGTACTCTCCCTTCCCATGCATGAGCTCATCTTTTAAAAATTAAGGGACAGATAAGTTTTTGTTTTTTAAGGAATATTCTGGCAGATTTTTTTATATAAGTTTTCCTTTCTTACGATATTTACATATATAAAATAGTTGTACTACTACAAGTAATTTCTGTAGAAACCATTGCTTGTTGTCAATACCATTAACCAATAATCCCCTCCAACATCTATATGTTAAAAACCTTTAGCAGAATACTGGTATCCGACAAAAAACTTGGTCTTTTCGCCAGCATGTTTATTCTTGTTATCCAGATTTTCTTCACCTTTTCGTTTACTACTTCAATTATTTGAAGCTTAGCCTGTCAGGAAGGCAAGGTATGTAACTAGACCCAATCCCATGGGCAAAATACTCCACAAAGAGGAAAGAGCCTTGAGAAGCAAGATCCCCGTTAGCGTTTTTATAAGGCAACAGCATGACTATATTCCCTACAAGAATGAGAATATAATATTTTCACAAAAACACTCACCATCAAGGACGTACTCTATTGCAGTTAGTGGGGTACCAGGGTTGAGGACAACTCCAGCTTTAGCTCCCAGACTCTTTATCTGAATAATAATAAAAGTGTAGGATTACTAAAAAGATGAATTAGTAGCACAAACCATATTCCTTTTCTGGTAATGATTGCATCTTATGCACCATAAATGTATGGTTACTTAACACAGTGTCTATAGCAGGGATAAGCCTAAATGCATTCTCATAAAACAAGAAAAACAATTTGGATCATGCAGCCCTAGCTTGGTTTCACCATCTATGTCTATCACTTCTTCACTTCTCACAATTTGGATAAGCCTAAATACATCCCATGAATTCTGAGTAGAGACAAGATAACACAAAACTAATTTTAATATAACTCAGATGTCTCCATGTTTTGACACATGTGGAATCACAAGGATAAGAAGGAAATCTTACCATATTAACTGAACGATGTAAATGGATGGTGGACGATTGTTCAGCATGAACACTGACAATGTCGGCTCCAGCTTTGATAAAATCTGGCACTCGCTGCTCGGGTTCTACAATCATCTGGAGCATTTAAATTTCACATTAGTTCTTGCTTTTTATTCAATGTCTATCCAATTCATATCAAAACATGTAGAACAAAAAATACCAGATGCACATCCAACGGAAGGTCTGTCACAGGGCGCAAGGCATCAACTACAAGAGGTCCAATGGTAATATTTGGAACAAAACGACCATCCATTACATCCACATGAATCCAGTCACAACCTGCCAACTCTACAGCTTTTACCTAGATAAAGTGAGAGTCAAACTATAATGCCCAAACCAATATGAAAATGCCACAAATATCAGCAAAACTGCTAAGAGTTTCAACTTATATTTCTACATTTGAAAATCTGAGGAAACAATTCTAAACAATTTTTTGGCAATGAAACAGATTATAGACAATTTCAAGTTTCCATAATCCATGTTGCCCTTACAATGTAGTAACTGAAAAAGAAAATTTCACTAAGAAGTTAAAAAATAAGAATAGAACCTGCTCTCCCAACTTTGCAAAGTTGGCAGAAAGAATAGATGGAGAAACAATGATATCACTTTTTGAGAATTTATCAACCCGAGCTGAAGCCTTCACCACAGTCTTACATTTCTTCCTGAAATCAAACGAGCACGATTGCAAAATGTCAGGCACAAAATCAAATACCAACAATATATCAAACTTGATGACCATAATATCTATTTGCACACAGCACACAGAACTCTGCTCTTTATAAACAAAATCAAATGAATACATTTACTTGAAATTCACCCTTCTCATAAAGCAAGAAAGAATCACTATTTTCTTAATGGCACTTTGAAAGAAAGCACATATGGGTGCAGCTCCAAAAAAGTTATCCTCATCTTTGCCAACAGTCATCATCAGAATAAAATGATTTCCAGTATAAATTTGGACTCACGCCAATAAAACTGTGTGACAGTTTTTAAGAAAATTTAAACATTTCCAACGCTGTATTACTTTTCACAACTGGGTTTCATCCGAACACGCAAATATGATATCCTAGACTTGAAAATCCAAAATACAATCAAACCCAATTGGAATTCAAAGGAAAAAAAAGGTACACCAAATCAAGAAAACAATACCTTGTGAAGGTAAGAGAAGTGGGCTGAGAAAGACATGGTTTTTTAAGCTTAAGACCTCCACCAAGTCCACTGATCTGGGACTTGAGAGTTGATGAGCAAAGTGAAGCAGCTGACATCTTTTCCCTCTGAATCTCTGTCTGTGGCTTCAACGGTTAGTTGGTGCCGTAGTGAGAAAAAGGTTTGGTCTTTTCTTTCTTCAAACTTTCTCTCTTTGCCTTCCCACCAATCCTTCAGCATAGGATTGACAAAGAAAAATCTCGGAGAAATTTAGGAAGAAAAAACCTGTGGGCGACACGTGTCACCGCGGTTTTTTTGGTGTGTGTGGGAATTTTCTTATCTGCAATGGTTGGCGCTCTATAGATGAAACTTGCAAGTGGCCAAAGGCTGTTTGCTAACGTTGGGCTCTTGTCCCCATACTTCTGTTGAAAACAGACTTCTTCTTTTTTGGTCGAAACTGTTGAAAACAGACTTAACAAGAATTTCAATTTGTCCACATAATTAAGGGTGCTGAAATGTTTTTCACTTTTTATGTTTTTCTTTCACTAACTTACAACTCAGTGTGACAAAATTAGATAATGTTGTTTTCTCAAACAAATCACCTTAAAATGAAGAGAGACAACCTGTTCAGCAAACAGGGAGAAAAGCTTGGTATATTTGGCAATGGTTAGGTGAATCACTTGTAAACACAATGTGTAATTAATTCAAAATCACCTTCAATTAGAAGTTGTTTGGAACCATGACCTATTCATACTCTTCATACTAGTAGTCGTTGGATTCTCTGAGTTATGAATAAAATCTCTACCAGAGTGTTCATCAATCGAGTGCGCATTCATATATTAAGGAAATTTCGAAATGAAATTGAAAAATGTGCAAGCATGCTCTTTGGTGATCATGGTACTTATTATTCACTTCATATGCAAGTGCAGATGATCAATGTTACCAAAATTGCATGGGCGCTTGTAAATTGCTACCTCAGCTTTGTGTTCAACTATGCATATATAGGGCAATGCCCACATCCAACTCAAAATGTTGTGAACCATCTTAACTATATTGTAGACTTAGTTGCTCGAGTGACCAATGTGTCAAATATAACAACGATACTCTCCTTTTTCTTTTTCTTTTCCCTTTCTTTCTTTCGATATATATATAACATATCAATATGGTTCCTAGTCCCAATAATTATATACAACATATCAATATGGTTCAAACAAGGCACATTTTTGATGTTATTGTATTGAAATAAAGTATATATGGTTTAATAAAGTGAGACCTTTGGTGTTCAATTTGTTGTTATAGGTCCATAATTATCTTTCTTTTTCTCCTTGCATACTATACAGTGCCACAATTGATAAAAATGGATAAATAAATAAATATGCTTTAAAAATTTGTTAAATAATTTGGCAAATCGTCATTGTATTGGGAATAAGAGGATTTAGGGGTTTTCATTTGTCGAATAGAATAGAAGAAAAGTTATTTGGTGCTATAATATATTTAACATAGTTCTATTCTATCAAATGACTCCAATTGTTCATAATTTATTCAATTTTACCTATAAGAGGGAAAATAAAAACATGAAACCATCCCAATTATAATTGAAGTGATTTCTGAGGAACATCCAATCCAATTCACATTTCAAAACCCATTAAACACCTCATCATTCTCTCTTAGGCTAATCGAAATTTAATTTTCACACTTTATAAAAGATTACTTTAATTCAGCTCTAAACAAAAACATCTACGTGTGACAGTGCCATACGCTCACACATTCATAAAATGAAAGCAAAAGAACAATATAGTATCTTGATAAGAAAAAAGATAACATATTAAATTTATAAAAATTGAAAATGCTTGATGGATTTTTATGTTAAGGATTTCTAATCTTAACCATTAAATTGCATGTATGGTACATATTAACTTTACTAGCACATCTAATGGATAGCTGAGATTAGAAATCCTTAACCAATTATTAACTTAAAATCGTAGATGTTACTAAACTTGCTTTGAAACGTCAAGGAGTATAGCTTAGTTGGTTCAGCTCTTCCACATCCACCCATATGAGCCGATGTTCGAAACCCTGAGTCACCAAATGAACATTGACTTCATATGCAAGTTCATGTTACCAAAATTGCATTGGCACTTGTAAATTGCTACCTCAGCTTTAATAATCTATGAAATACAAATAATCCGAACTTTAATATATAAAAGCCAAGGTTATATATTGACAAAGTCACCACACCAATTCATCGCGTCAACGATGAACATGGCCACACCGACATATCAAATGTAAATTTTTAGACGTGCCTGCCACTATTGGCTATCTATCCGATTGTAGCAAATCTTATTCAATACCAATTGTACTGTATCCCTGCCACCCTGGCTTCTTCTTCTTCCCCAAACCTTCAAGTTCAACTTCACAGTCCAAAACCAGTCACTGGAAGCACAATTCTATGATCCAACTCACCCACCCATTGGTCCAAATAGACCCAGATCAGAATACTATTGCGTCAAAGTGGACCTGAGCTGGGTCTTGGCAATACCCAGATGAAGATTTTCAGAAAATGAAGAGGTTCAAGCAAAACCTTGATGGTGATCATTTATCTACCCACTTGGATTTGGATTCCCGTAATGCTCTGAGGGACCCGGATAGGAAATCTGGTTTGAGTTCGATGAAGGTGATGGGGATCTTTGTGGCTGGCTTGATTGTGTTTTCGGTGCTCTTCTCAGTGAAGGTGGTTCTCAGAGACCCACCTTCGGATGCTGTTTTTGAAACTTCAAAAGCTCAAGTTCTTGAAGTGGAACACAGAAAAGGTAACAGATTTAAGCTTAATTTTTAGTATGATCTAGTTGGATTTGGTTAATTTTAATTTCTCTGTGATTTCTGTACCAATTTTTAGTCTTTAGTTTAATTGAGTTTGAGAGATTGTTTATTGGGTCATATGCTGAAAGAACTGCAATTTGATTGACATTCTCGAAGCTTTTGCATGAGCTGCATTATAGTTCTTGAGAGCAAGTTGAACTTAAGGACTTGAGGAACTTTTACTGCTTGCGGTTGGGCAAACTTTTTGGCCTTTTCTACTACTTCACCTTTTTGTTCTCGTAGTGCCTTTAGATTGGATCAAATCCTGCACTTCATCAGCTTCATTGGCTATTTTCATCCTTTGGTTCTTGTGGAGTCGATACCAGTATGTCTTCTAAAATGGAAGAAGTGCTGTTGGTTGTTAATGTACTGTTCTGTTTCCATTTCTGACTACTTTGTTATCATATTTAGTTGTCTGCTATGTTTCCATTTCCAACTACTTTGTTTAATATATGTGTTATCGCATTTAGTTTCTTTGTTTCAATCTCCTTTTGTGTTGTAAATTTTTTTCTTTTGCTTTCAGAGTCACTGCCCACTTTCTTAGATTATTCTCTTAGTGCCAGAAAATTCATATGCAATCCATGTAAAGATCCTGATCTGCCTACTTGTGAGTCACGTGATGCAGCTATGATGGTGATATAAATCCCTTAATAGGTTGTTCTAGTATTTGCAGGTTCTGATAATCTACTTCTGAGTGATGCATATATGTAAAGTTCCTGGTCTGTCTACTTCTGTCAAGCTTCTAATATTGCATCGTTCTTTTTTCATTTTGCAATTCATAGATTCAGAAGATCAATTTTCAGAGTCTCTTGAGGTGCCAAAGGATAAATTGCTTAGAGGCCTTCTCGCTGATGGATTTGATGAGGGATCTTGTGTCAGCAGGTACCAGTCAGCGTCATATCGTAAAGAACTGCCATACAGACCCTCTTCTTACCTTATATCCAAGTTACGAAGCTATGAAGCTCTACATAAACGGTGTGGACCTTATACTGAATCCTATAACAAAACCATAGAACAACTCAAGTCTGGCTATCACACAGGCTCCCTGGATTGTAACTATGTGGTATGGATTTCCTTTAGTGGATTAGGGAATAGGATATTGACCTTAGCTTCAGCATTTCTTTATGCTGTCCTGACAAACCGGGTTTTACTAGTGGACCCTGGAGTTGACATGGTCGATCTCTTCTGTGAACCATTTCCAGAAGTCTCGTGGTTCCTCCCCATGGATTTCCCTCTTAAGAATCAGTTTGACAGCTTGGATCAGAAATCACCTCACTGTTACGGGAAGATGCTGAAGAAGAATAGCAACTTTACAAATTCCGATGGTTCGGTGATGCCATCTTTTGTATATCTCCATCTAGCCCATGATTATGATGATCAAGATAAGCTTTTCTTCTGCAGCCAAGATCAAACTTTTCTCCAAAAGATACCGTGGTTGCTCATGAAAACAGATAACTATTTTGTCCCATCTCTTTTCTTGATCCCATCTTTTGAGCAAGAACTAAATAATCTCTTCCCAAGGAAGGAAACGGCTTTCCACTTTTTGGGTCGATACCTTTTCCACCCCACAAATGTAGTATGGGGACTTATTACTAGATACTATCAAGCTTATTTAGAAAAAGCAGATGAAAGAATAGGCATCCAGATCAGAGTTTTTGATACTGGAACTGGCCCCTTTCAACATGTGTTTGATCAGATCCTAGCCTGTGCGGTGAAGGAGAATTTGCTACCAGAAATCAACAGGCAGGATTTCATTGTCAGTCCATTGGGAACCCCAAAGTCTAAAGCTGTGCTGATGACATCTTTAAGTTCTGGGTACTTTGAGAAGCTCAGGGACATGTATTGGGAGCATCCTACTGTGACAGGGGAGGTGATTGGCATTTATCAGCCTAGTCATGAGGAGTATCAACAGACTGAGAAGCTAATGCACAACCGCAAGGCATGGACCGAAATGTACTTGCTTAGTTTGACAGATGTGCTGGTCACAAGCTCATGGTCAACCTTTGGGTATGTCGCGCAGAGTCTTGGAGGGCTGACACCATGGATACTCTACAAACCCGAGAACAGGACAGCACCCGATCCTCCTTGTCAGCGAGCCATGTCAATGGAGCCTTGCTTCCACGCGCCTCCCTTCTATGATTGCAAGGCCAAGACAGGAGTGGACACCGGCAAATTAGTTCCTCATGTGAGGCATTGCGAAGATATGAGCTGGGGTCTTAAGTTGGTTGATAGTTAAGATGAGTTGTAGCTGCGTTATATGTCTGTTTTTTTATTAGTTAGTAAGGGAGAGTGGGAAAACTCACACACACGGGTACCGTGGGGGTTTAAACCCAGGACCACTTTTTGTTTTTTGTTTTTTTGTCTGAAACCCAGGACCACTCGGGAGCACACCAAAGGCCTGAGCCAATCCAACTGACACCCAATTGGTAGCTGGTTTATATGTCTGTTGTTGTAACTGTTTGATCATGAATAACAATTGCATTTTTTCAGGTACACCGACGTGTGTGTGTTTGTGCATGTACATACTTCATTGGCAGTATATTCAACCTTTTTATGATTCAACAAAAACAATAGCAATTGAGAATAAGGGGTCAATCAACCATATTGAATTGGTATACATTTGATTTGGTTATGCTGTGATTATCTAATTGGATGCTTAATTGATTTTGTAGTCAAGTTTTTGCTTGAATTAGTTGACCTTTAACAAGTACCCACCAACTCCAAGTCCAAATCACCTAAGCCACTGTTAGCTTGAATTAGTATAACAGAAGCAATGATATATCTTTATATATATATACCGGGCACAAATGCTTAACTACATGAAAATTGCAATAACCCATAATCCAAAATTGACAATTACATAAAAGTAATTTCTTCCCAACTCATCATTCGTCATATAGATGCATGCAACACCTTCTTACATTACAGGTTTTTTTTGTTTCCACTCATAATCCTTCCTTCCGCCATGTTTTCGGTTCGCGGTCCAAATTGGGTTTGTTTTTTGTGCTTGGCCTTTTCATGATGCATGGCGCCCATTTCATGCTACATGGCGGCTACTCCAGCCTTGGCTACTCTCTGCAAAACCCAATAATATTACAATAAACTAAACTCGAAGGCTATAAAAACACTCAGGAATGCACACAATTGAATCTCTTGATTCATGGTCATTAAATAAATAAAAAGATTTCATTGTAGACACATTTCTTTCACCTTAGCCATGGGCAAGCAAGAAGCTTACGATGAGTCCCCTCATGGATCAAAAATTGCTTATCATGTTCATCCAAAGTGGTTTCTTCTTGTTTTGGCTGATTCATATTAGTCACACTCTCCTCTTCTATGGGTTCGTAATACCCACACTCACTGAGTCATAATAATGAGAAATCTTATTACATACAAAATGTAAAATAATTCCAACATACAAATGTAATTTTATGGATGAAAAGACAAGAAACGTGAAGAAAACTTATGGTGTGAAGCAGAACTCAAGTGAGAACCATTCACGGCCCTTGATATCTACAGGATGAACAGTTGAATGTATGGTCTTGATCATGGGTCTTCCTCCTTCTCCAACAACAATTTGAAACGTGGTAATACAAAGATATTGAACCATGGGACAAGCTTCGTCATTGGGACTGCCAGTCCTGATATGAAAAAAGTCTTTGTTACCCAAATGAACCAAATACCCTGTCTTAAGCTCACGAAATGGCACTGGTGGACACGCAATCTTCAGGCCACGCAATATAAATTGTGGGTTTAGGGAATATGCAATGCCACCGTCTTCAACTTTGTCCATCCTAAATGAGAATGCTATAATCACCTCCTCCATAAGTGCATGTAAGGCATAGATAGTGTCGCCTACAGCCATGGCTCTCCCTCGGAAAGAAGCATAAGAAGCAGAAGTCACTCGATTCCATTGATTTCTACTCTCATGAAAAGCAACGACATAGGGATTCATGTAGGAGTCCGACAATGAAAACAAAATAACGCCATAACAAACGGCATAACCAATTATTTTCGCATGGCTCCCATAGTCATGATAAAATGGAAAAGAAGTCATTCCCTCCCAAAGGTCTTGATCAGGATCATATCTCTCGAACGAGGGCTCCTTAATTGGTGGTGAGCACGCTGGAGATGCAAGATAGTAAAGCTTGTCATAAGCACACACAAGAGTTCCTACTGGTTTTGAGGCTATGCTAGGAGGAAGAGATGAACAATATGACCCAGTCTTTGTGTCAATACTATATCCTGATGGCCTGCAAGATTTGGCCCCAGGAGCTTTATTATAACCGTCCTGTGGAATGATGTATAATTTGGAGCGGTTGAAAATCCTTGCACCCTTGATGCGAAAACTGTCATAGTACTTCGTGACAAGTCCAACTACTGGGGGTTCATGAGTGACTCCTCCGTGTTTGAATGTCACTTTATAGATTGAATCAGTGTATTCGCCATCATAAAAAGACACAAATAAATATACAGATCTATCTTCCCCTTGATTTATCGTCATCGATGCATGCTCTGGCTCCACGGAAAAGCTGGACAGAAAAGAGAGAGATATATAGAACCAGTCAAATTAATATTTTCAAAGACCTACCTACCTAGAGAGATTTAATGAATGAAGGAAGGTAAAATCCGCACCATTTACTTTAGTAAGCATATATACACAGAAACAAATACAAACAAAACAGTAAATATTAAAGAGTAATAGAACGGTCACAGTTCAATGCAAAGTTCAATTCATAGAATATATATACATGACCAGAATTGTAAAATAACATCAGATTCCTCAGAAAATATAACACAGTTTTTGCAAGAAAACACCTCAAAGGAACAGATAAAGGCGCTCGAAATAGGAGCTGGTAATCCAATTCAATTTCAAGAATATGTAACACAAGTGAACTGAATGGTAGCAAAGAGATATAAAACGTCTTGTAGCATCAAGATAGCCGAAAAAAATAGTCCAACCAAGAGTCTTTAAATAAAATTAAAGATGCATGCAAAATTCTCCGAAAACTAAACAAAAAGAAAATTGATCCATTTTTTTTAAGAAAAAAAACAACAACAGCAATGCGAAAGAAGAACATCAACAATTTTACAGAGAACAAAATTTAGAAGATAAGATGAAATCCACTAAGCCATAAGGCACTGGCCTTGGGTGAGGATTAAAGGGCTCACGGTTGGGACTGTCGTCAATCACGGTGAAATTTGGAGTTGTCGTGGATTGACTGGGGGTAGCATTACTGGAGCGTATTAAACGAAGCTCCTCCAGTATTGATTTCTGCAAATCGGCCAGTTGGAGTTCTGGGCAGAAAGCTGGGCAGATAGTTGTGCAGAAAGCACCTCCGATAACTTCGTCAAGGCACGGTATTGAGCAGGGGTGAGATCAGCGGCCGCGGAAGTCAGCCTGGGACTGCCGGGTGGAACGGGAATACCGCTACTGGCGCTTAGTAGGCCAAGCAGCTCCAGTATTGATGTTTGCAATTCGAACTTTTGGGTTTTCTCTATCTCCGATATATTGACAGGAGATTTCTCCATCTCTGGTAACTTCCCCTGTGGATCATATTGGCGGGAAGTCATGGTCAAGACATGGCCTTAACCCAAGATGAAGGTTGAGATTTTTGCCAATGCACCATGATACCAGATGATAGGGCCTTCGCTATTGAAATGCAAAGGCAAAGGGAATTTAGGGTTTGGGGATGCCGCTGTAAAGGGGTGTTTTATTATGCTTGGTTGGGGGTGTGATATGAGGAAAGTTTCGTCATGCTTGGTTCGGGTGGAGAAATTATAGAATGGTATACCATGTCAGCTAGTGATATTTTTATTGAAATATTGCCACGTATCTTTTTTTTAAAATAAAATTTAAGGGTTCGTTTGATAACCATTTCAATTTTAGTTTTTAGTTTTCTTTTTTTGTGCTAGATTATAGAGGAAGATGAGAGTGAGAAAGGAGTGAGGATGAGATTGAGAGAGAGGATGAGAGGGAAGGATGGGAGGGAGGAGTAACAAAGTGAAAACAAAAACTTGAAGGTGAAAACAACTTCAAATATATTTCAGTTTTTAGTTTTTGTTTTCGCTTTTGTTACTCCTCCCTCCCATCTTCCCCTCTCATCTTCTGTCTCAATCCTATCTCCACTTTCATTCTCACTTCCATTCTCCCTATTTTTTCTCTATACTCTAGCACAAAAAATGAAAACTAAAAACTAAAATTGAAATAGTTATCAAACGGGCCATAAACTGTTTTTCCAGTTAGATATTGGGTTTAGTTAAGTTTATCACAATCCATGGGGCCCAAAACCTTATCTCTGCATATCAAGAATTTCTTGGGGCTTTTTAGTTAAGATTGCTTTACACATCATTCTGAATGCGTTTCTTGGATCTTTTCTTGTCAAGCCCATACGTGATTGAGAGCAAAATTGGATAAGAGAACTTGGATATGGAGGTTTTGATGTATATGAAAGCAACCTAGATGAGGAGGTTGAAGTATTAGGGGGAGGTAATCAAACAGAGAAAGGGCGCGGCGGAGGGGGATTACAAATTGCATAGAGTGGGAGGGACGGTGAGGCGGAGGGGGACTGCGAACTGGATAGAGGTTGAAGGCTGTCTAGCTCTTTGTTTTTTTTTAAAAAATTCTGAAGGGTAAAATTGGAACCCAATGTCTAGCTGGAAAAACAATTTAAATTTTCTTTTAAAAAGTAGACATGACAAATTCTATGTAAAAGTATCACTAGCTGACGTGGTGATACTGTATCACTTTATAATTTCTCTATTGGGAGTTGTCATCTTACTATTTTGATAAGCCAACATTTTATGGTGTTTATATCTATCATTTTTTGGTAGAGATACTCACCTAATTCTCTAGGACATAATCCGGTTTTATTTATTTATTTCGTCCCTCATCATCAATAAAATACCAATAATTCTATTTGGACATACAAGATTGACCACATTAACTTACCACCTTATGTAGGAGCTTATGTGGTTATGCCATGTCACTTAATGAATATTGCATGCAGATTCTATTTTCCCTTTTATTTATTTATCTTTTCAATCTCATGCTCAAGCCACACCCAATTGCATACCTAGTTTTTCGAGAATGAGCGATTTTATTTTAATAAGAATGAAGTATTATATATTGTCCTCTGCATGCTAAAGCATCAAGGATGATCACAGGAGGTTCCTGAAATCATGAAGATGTTGTAGGCAAAGAAACAACAAATTTAGCTAAACGATGGGCCACTTTGGTTGGCCTCACGAAAGACAAAATTAATAGAAATATCTTGTAGCTGACTCACTAGCAGTCTACAATCTGAAATCAGAACACTCAAACAGGAGGATATGTCATCGTATGGAGCAGTGACTCACTAGCATACCCAGTTTTTAATTGGCCACGATTTAGCTGTGGACATTCAGAGGGCTGGACAAGAAACAAAGTGACGGAGAGAGTGTGGGGAAGAGGAGAGAGAAGCGAGAAGGGTCGGGAAGGGGGAAGATTAAAAAGATTCACAACTGCTTTGGTTTTGTAAAACGTGGCCTTCTCGTAATCATTTTTCAGTATTTAACTTGTTTACAAAGGTCTTCTCGCTTTGCAATGATGTTGTCAAAATCCCTTCTCTCTTTGATAAAAATGTCATCTTCAGGCTCTAAAGAAAAATATAGGACGCATAAAAAACTCCATGCACATTAATAAAAAATGTCATATTCTGGCTCTCAGAAAAATAAAGCTTTGGGAAGAGAAGGGAGGCAAATGGAGAAAGAAACAAAGCTTTGGGAAGGAAAAATTTCCCCGTAAAGACACAATGAGAAATAATGATTTTTTTTCATCTAGCAATTGCAATTTGCTTATAGAGAGATGTGAAAATATAAATGTAAGAGAGATAAAATAGAGTGGAAACTTTAATTAAAGATTATTTTCAGCACATAATTATTTTTTAAAAAGTAAAAATTAATTTGTCATGTGATATTTAATCACATCTATTTATAGCGTCAACATTGTGTCAAAGTTGTGAAATTTGTGTAAAAAACAAAGTGCCACGGATCCGAGCCCCTATGCCGGGAAAAAATTAGCACTATATATATTAGGAGATATGCAGCAAATGCCAAGCCAATAATCTTGATACAAATGATTAACTATATGAAAATTGCAATAACCCTTAATCCAAAATTGACAATTATTACACAAGTAATTTCTTCCCAACTCATCATTCGTCATATAGCTGACAATTACTTAACTACATTTTAATAAATATATATACATATGCCCTAAAAAAAAACACTGACTTAGGAAGATATGCAGCAAATGCCAAGCCAATAATCTTGGTACAAACGCTTAACTCCATGAAAATTACAATAACATAAGTAATTTCTGCCGAACTCATCATTCATCATATAGCTTTGCATGCAACAGCTTCTTACATTACAGGTTTCCCTTTTTTATCTTCCTGGGTTTTTTCTGGTTGGCTTTTCCATGCTGTCTGGCACCTACTTCATACTATTACTACGTGGCGGCTACTCCAGCTTGGCTTCTTTCTTGGCCTCTTTCTACAAAACCCAATAATATTAAGACATGCAATTAATTGAGTCTTTTGATTCACGTCATTAAATAAATAAAAAGATTTCATGCAAACACATTTCTTTCACCTTTGACATTGGCGAGCAAGAACCTCACTACGAGTCACCTCCCACATAGAAAAAGTCTCATCCTGAGTTGTTCCCAGAGTGGTTTCTTCTTGTTTTGGCTGATTTAGACTAGTCACCATGTCCTCTTCTATGGGTTCATAATCTCCAAACTCACTGAGTCATAATAATGAGAAACCTTAATTATTACATAAAAATGGTAACATAATCCCAACGTACAAACATAACTTTAATAATGTAAACACAAGAAACATGAAGGAAATTTACGGCGTGAAGCAGAACTCAAGGAAGAACCAATCACGACCCTTGACATCCACAGGATGAACAGTTGAATTTATGGTCCTGATCATATGTTTTCCTCCTTCAACAACAATTTGAAACGTGGTGATACAAAGATATTGAACCTTGGGATGTGCTTCACTATTGGGACTGCCAGTCTTGACATGGAAAAAGTCATGGTTACCCAAATGAACTAAATACCCTGTATTAAGGTCACAAAATGGCACTGGCGGACACGCAATCTCCAGACCACGCAATATAAACAGTGGGCTTAGGGAATATGCAATGCCACCATGATCACCTTTGTCCATCCTAAAGGAGAATGCTACAACCTCCTCCACCATAAGTGCATGTAAGGCATAGATTGTGTCTCCTACAACCACTGCCCTCCCTCGGAAAGGGGCATAAGAAGCAGAAGTCACTCTATTCCATTGGTTTCTACTCTCATGAAAAGCAACGACATCGGGATTCATGTCGGAGTCCCACAATGAAAACAAAATAACACCGTAACAAACGGCATAACCAATTATTTCCATACGGGTCCCATCATCATGATAAAATGGAAAAGAAGGCATTCGCTCCCAAACGTCTTGCTCAGGATCATATCTCTCGAAGGATGGTTCTGTAATTGGTTGTAAGCACGCTGGAGATGCAACATAGTAAAGCTTGTCATACGCAGACACAAGAGTTGCTAATGGTTTAGAGGCTAGATTGGGAGGAAGAGATGAAGAATATGACCCAATCTCCGTGTCAATAATATATCCGAATGACCTGGAAGAGTCTCCCACGAGAGGGTTATTATAACCTCCCTGTAGAAGGATGTATAATTCGGAGCGGTTGAAAATCCTTGCACCCTGAATGTAAAAACCATTAGAGAACTCATCCTCAACTTGAACAAATGGGGGTTCATGAGTGACTTCTCCTCCATGTTTGAACGTCACTTGATAGATTGCATCAGTATATTGGCCATCATAAAAAGACACCAATAAATATACAGATCTATCTTCCCTCTGATTTATTGTTGTCGATGGCACCATGGGAAAGCTGGACAGAGAAGAGAAAGATATATAGAACAAGTCAAGTTAATAGTTTCAAACACCTACCTACCTAGAGATTTAATAAATAAAGCAAGGTCAAAGCTAGAGAGATTTTAAAAACGAAAATTAATCGAAAATTTTAAAAAGAAAAAGAAAAAAAGTAACAGCAACAATGTGAATGAATAACATCAACAATTTTACAGAGAAACAAAAATTAAGAAGATGAGATGAAATCCACTAAGCCATAATGCACTGACCTTGGGTAAGGATTAAAGGGTTCACGGCAGGGACTTTCGTAAATCTCCCTGAAATTTGGAGTCGTCGTCCTTTGGGATTGACTAGGGCTAGCAATAATGGCGCGTATCAGGCGAAGCTCCTCCATTATGGATTTCTGCTGGGCGGAAAGCTCGGCTAGAGATTTCTCCACTTTTGATTGACGAGGGGTGGGCTCAGCGGCGGAAGCCATCGTCAAGGTGATTGCCGGCATGTGACATCCGGGTTGAACAGGGCTACCACTACTGGCTTTTAGTAAGCGAAGCAGCTCCAATATTAATGTTTGCAATTCGAACTTTTGGGTTTTCTCGATCTCCGATATCTTGCCGAGAGATTTCTCCATCTCCCGTAACTTCCCATGGAGATCATGTTGGCGTGAAGCCATGGTCAAAGCATGGCCTTGATCCGAGGTGAGATCGGCTGCGGCGGCGGAAGGTTGAGATTTTTTCCAATACACCATGATACCAGATGATAGGCCTTCGCTATTGAAATGCTAAATTGAGGCACAGGGAATTTAGGGTTTGGGGATGTCGCTGCAGAGAGGAGTTTTATTAT